GGGGCCCCCCGGGGGCCCCCCGGGGGCCCCTAGGGGCCCCCCGGGGGCCCCTGGGGGGCCCCCGGGGGGCCCCCAGGGGCCCCTGAGGTTGAGTTTGGTGAAAGTTCATCCGGGGTCCATGGGGGAGGAGTTGGTGGGAGATTGTGCAGTTGTTTTATCGGATCTTCGAGGTTTGTTTGATTTGGAGTTTTTTTTTGAATCTTTTGGAACCATTTTGATTGTTTTTGATTCGTTTGGGTGGTTTTAATTCATTTTAATTCCTCCAGATTCGTTTTAATTGCTTTTAGGTGCTTCTAGTTGGTTTTCATTCTTGATGGTTGTTTTTAATTCGTTTTCATTGCTTTTAATTGCCTTTAAATTTGTTTTAGTTACTTTAAGTTGGTTTTAGTTACTCTTAATTGGTTTCAGTTGATTTAATTTTGTTTATTTCTTTTTTAATTGGTTTGAGTTGGCTTTGTTTGTTTTTAATTGCTTCTGATGTTTTTTGGATTTTGGAATAATCTTTTGAATTCAAAAAGAAAATCCCTTTTGGTCTTTCTTCTTTTCTTTTTGAATCTTCTTTTGCCTCATTTATTTCCTTTTTTTGCTTCTTTTATTTATTTCTTTTTCCTTTTTATTTATTTCTTTTATCTATTTTCTTTTTGCATTTCTCCCCTTATTTCTTTTTCCTCTCAAACTGTTTCTTTCTTTTCCTTTTAGTTTCTTTAGTTCTTTTATTTCCTCTCTAATCGTGTTTCCCTATTTTTGCGAAAATGAAAAAACCACAAATAATATCTTTATTATTTCTTGTAAAATTGAATAAATGCATATGTCTATTTCTTTTAATTGAATATAATTTAAATGCATTTAAATGCATTTATTTGTTTTATTTGTTTTATTTGTTTTATCAGATCAGAAGAAAAAAGAATTCATTAAAGATATTTGGGGACATGCCGGAGAAATGGTTCTTTCCTGCCAGTGGATTTTCTCCAAGGTGTCTGTACACCTCAGACCTGCCTAGACACCCCACGCCCGCCGCTCGTCTTCCCTTTCTTTCTTCTCTTTTTTCATTTAATTTCATTTTAATTTAATTTATTTTATTTTATTTTAATTTATTTTAATCAATTTGATCTATTTTGATCCATTTTTCATTTCTTTCTTCTTTTTGCCTCCGCCAAACGCCCACAGCACTTTCTGCTTCCTCCCTTTCCTCCCTTTAAATCATTCAATCTCAATTTATTTATATTTATTTATTTATTTATTTATATTTATTTATATTTATATTTATTTATTTATTTATTTATTTGTTTGTTTGTCCGCAGCGCGCACTGTATGGACAGTACCTGCAGGAGTTCACAGTTCGGCGAGAAGCGAAAATTAGAGAACTTTCCGACTACCAAGAAGAAGTACCTTTTAGTTTTTGTTTATTTATTTATCTACTTTTTTATCATTTATTATTTATTTATTATTTATTTATTATTTATTCTTTATTTATTATTTATTTATTTATTTATTTATCTTAGTTATTTATTTATTTATTTATTTATTCATTCATTATTTATTCATTTATTCATTTATTTAGTTATTTATTAATCTTATTTATTTATTTATTTAACTAGTTATTTTATTTATTTTTCAATCTTTCTATTTTATTGATTTGACTATTCATTGAACTGTTTAATTATTTAAATATTCAATTATTTATTTGTTTTATTTAAATATTTAAGTTTTTAATTTATTTTTTTTGTTGTTTCACCGATTTTATTTTATGTTTCCATTTAGTTTAATTGTTTAGTTAATTTTAATTATTCATTTTTTTTTAGTCCACTATTTGATTATTCTATTTGTTTCATTCATTTCAGTTTAGTTAGTAAATTATTTTATTATTTCATTTTAATTATTTCATATTTTATTCACCAACTTAATTTAATTTTACTAATTCAATTTAACCTTTTTTAATTTTCCTCTTCTCTGCTGCTGCTGCTGCTGCTCCCCTGCTGCTGCTGCTGCTGCTGCTGCTGCTGCTGCTGCTGCTGCAGCTGGACAAGTTGAACCGGCCTTTGTGCGTGGCTGGTGGCGAGTCTTTTGGGCTTTTTGGGTTTTTTGAAATTCTTCCAAATTTAATTTCGAAACAACTCGAGGACTTGAAGACTTATTTGAAACTCCCCAACTGGCCCGTCAGTTTTCGCTCTATTTATTTTATTTTGTTTTGTGTTACTTTATTCCTTTTTGTTTTGTTTTGTTTTGTTTTGTTTTGTTTTGTTTTACTTTATTTTTGTTTTTTGTTTTGGTTCTTTTCTCGGCTTTACTGCTTTTGGTCTTTTTGTTTTTGTCCCTTTTGTTCTTCTTTTTTTTCTTTTTTTAAATTTCCTTTTCTGTTTTCTTTCTTCTTTTTTTTGTTTTTTTGTTTCTTTTCCTTTCTTTTTTTCGTTCTTTTTTGTCCCTTTTTGTCTCTTTTTATCTCCACATTTTGTGTCACTTTTGTGTTCTTTTTTACTTTCTTTTTTTCTGCTTTTTGATCTTCTTTTGGTCTTCTTTATTTCCTTTTTCGTCTTTTCTTTTGTTTTTTTTTACTTTTTTTTACTTGTTCTCTTTTTTGTTTTCCTTTTTAATTTTTTTCCTCTGTTTAGTTTTTCTTTTTTCTATTTCCGATTAAGTTTTTGTCCCTTTTCTTTCTATTTCACATTCTCTTTCTCTCTTCTTTATTCCCCTTCTATTCTCTCTTAATTCATTTTTAATTCTGTTTTAATTTTTTAATTCTCTTTTGATTCCCCTTTAATTCTTTTTTAATTCTCCTTTAATTCTTTCTTGATTCTTTTTAAATCTCCTTTTTCGTCTTGTTTTATTCTCTATTTAATTCATCATTTGTTCTCCTTTTTGTCCTCCTTTTAATTTATTTTTTTTCAATTTTTATTTTTAAAAATTTTTACATCATTTTCATTTCCTTTTCTTTTTTCTCTTTTCCATTCTTTCATTTTTTGGTCTTTTTCGAATATTCTTCTTTCCTTTCTTTTCCAACCAACTAGTTAATTAATTAACTTATTTATTTATTCATTTATTTATTTATTACTTATTTATTATTTATTTATTTCTTAATTATTTATTTTTTTTTATTTTAATTCAGCTGACGAGCCAATACGCGGCAGCCTTGACAATTCTTTTGGCGGGTTTGGCGGGACAGGCCAGAACTGTTTTTTTGGAGGAGTGCATTGCAGGGTTTTTGTTTTGGAACAACTTAGGCAAACCCTAAACCCTAAACCCTAAACCCTAAACCCTAAACCCTAAGCCCTAGAGAGCCCAGCTCGCGCCAGTCTAGACCCTCCAGAACTGTTTTTTTGGAGGAGTGCATTGCAGGGTTTTTGTTTTGGAACAACTTAGGCAAACCCTAAACCCTAAACCCTAAACCCTAAACCCTAAACCCTAAACCCTAAACCCTAAACCCTAAACCCTAAGCCCTAGAGAGCCCAGCTCGCGCCAGTCTAGACCCTCCAGAACTATCAT